CTGCTGAAATGCAGCCCCTACTTCTCATTGGTGGGGCACCAGAACTTAATTAGGTGATTGCGGAAGACTCAGAAGTTTAAACACTGAAATGTTTAAATCTGATTTCTTCTGCTAAGCTGTGCAGACCCAGGCCTAAAGCATGAACCATGCTAATTACTACCTCTGCCTCTGCTGAACACCTCTTGTTTGAGGTGCTGCACTTTTCTCCTCTAAAAAGGTCGATTAACGTGGTTGATGTAAAGCTCTCATGTCTCACCGTTTAGCTTTTGGATTACATTATGGATTTAGAATTTCCACTGCTTGTAATTTACTTCAGCCTTGTCTGAATTGCAGCACATATCCAGCTACTGTTCATGGTCAGTAAGCCTGCTCGCACAGTGCTATATGGTCATGTGAGTGTTCTGGTGTTGCATCTCATTAGTAAATTCCTGCTAACAGTGAGAGGAGTAGCTTCCCAAGTATTTACCATCCATTCAATTGAGCCTGGAGCTTAAATAACAAAAGTTTGAAAGCCTTTCTATTTTGTTTTAAGCAGATTTCGAAGTTATTTGAAAACAGGTAACTTTCCAGCTGGTTTGGTGAACTACATAATATGATATAGCATTTTTACTGTGGATGGACTCCAAATCAAATATTTCCATTACACCATTTGGAGAAGACTTGTCTTTGTCTTTTGGATCACTTAGGGAAAAGACCTACATAGAGAAAACAGTTTCTTCTTCTTGTTGAGCTCCCTCGTAGAAATAATTGCCAACGTTGAGTGCTTGCAGGTCTTTCAGATTCCTGTCACTTTTAGTGAGGATTTCCGTACTTAGTCCTTTAAAAGGAACTCTGCATTGGTAACAAGTGCTCATACATTTGCTTAGATGTACATTGATTTTGGATGTCTTTGTGATTGTATGTGAATATTTATTATATGCGTAATATCTACCTCTTTTAACGTATAGGAAGAACAATAAAAGTTTAGTGTGGGATTCAAATATATATCTAATTCATGAAAATAATCTTACATGTTTTAAAACTCTATTCAAGCTAATCCTAGAAAAGTACTTATGTAGGTAAATTACATGTTTTACTACTTAGGTATTAGAAATGCCATTAGTACAAATTCAAAGGACTGCAAAAAACAGTAGATAATGCTAATTTCAAATACAGAAACTAAATATATTTTGTACTTTTTTATTACTCGATTTCTTTTTTATTTTATTGACCACTTTTTATTTTAACTATATGTTCTTACATGCTGCAATCATAATGTGGTGTAATGATATTAATATTTTATAGAATCTGTATTTATAGTTCTTTATTTAGAAACAATGCAGTAGGTCTGCAGATCTTTGAATCCTTCTGGAATGGTGCCCTCCAAATAATGATAAATTACTTGTGCAGTATGCCATTTGCTAATTATATCCATGATTTACTGCAGAGCAAGACTTAAATCATTCATTTCAGTCTTGCGTAACAGTGCCATAAAATTTTTAGGTTTAAAAATGGTTTCCATGTGTATAATTTAAACAAATTTTAGAGCAATTGTATACACAAAATATTGCAACCATCCATTTGTTACATTCTTTGTGTCTCTTTTTTTTAAACTTGTACTTTTAATGATTACTGTGGTTGAAATTGTTATGCTTCATTTTCATAATCATAGCTTTTAATTCTACAACAGTTTTCTACATGTTAGATTAAGAGAAAGATGGCTAATTGTGTGTAGATACCATGTCATTCCTGAATAGCCCCACATTCTGGAAACTCATTTTAGAAATATTCAGTTTATGAATTAGTCTTCAATTAAAGGCATTTCTTTGATAAAAATGAACTATTAGCTCTGAGATCTTCTTGTTTTCAAGCAGATAATGTTGATTTTTTTTTTCTTCACTCATCTGTACACCAAAGTACAGTTAACTTTCTTTCTTTACATTTTCCTCTTTGTCCATACCTATAGGTGAGAAGCCTTACAAGTGTCCGCATTGTGATTATGCTGGTACTCAGTCTGCATCCCTCAAATACCACTTGGAACGGCACCATCGGGAGCGACAGAATGGAGCAGGATCACTCTCTGGGCAGACTGCAAGTCAAGAACACAAAGATGAGACATCAAGTAAAAGTTCTGTGTTTATTAGACCAGACATATTGAGAGGAGCCTTCAAGGGGCTTCCTGGTATCGATTTCCGAAGTGGCATGGTCTCGCAGCAGTGGACATCAGGAATGCTGTCTTCTGGAGATCAGCAAGGGCAAGCAGCTGGCATGTCATCTGAAGTATCTTCAGAAAATATGAAGGGTTCAGACATATCTTCCAAAGGAACACACTACTCTGAACTTGGCCGTGCTTACCAGAACATCGTTGGGAACGGTGTGAACTTTCAAGGGTCTTTGCAAGCTTTCATGGACAGCTTTGTCCTAAGTTCTTTGAAGAAAGAAAAAGAAATGAAGGATAAAGCTCTCTCAGATCCACTTTCAGCAAAAGGTCTAGGCTCAGATGGTGGCGAGGAAAAGATAAATAACAAGTCCTCACAACGAAAACCAGAAAAGTCACAATACGAACCTCTTGACTTATCTGTAAGGCCAGATGCAGCCTCACTCCCAGGTTCATCTGTTACTGTGCAAGACAATATTGCTTGGCATGGCTGCTTATTTTGTTCCTTTACAACTTCTTCTATGGAACTAATGGCTCTGCACCTCCAGGCCAATCACCTGGGCAAGGCTAAACGTAAAGACAACATCATAGGCAACAACAAAGACCAATCTAGAGAAGTTTCAGCCTCTGTCAATAAAGTGAGTTTGCTCCCCTCTTCTGTGCAGTCCAGCAAGGAGGCAGTAGTTTCAAACATGCTGAGCCAGCTGGACTCAGCTTCTGAGAAATTGACCCAAGGACAAAATAAAGAGACCCTGGGAGAGCAAAAGAGCACTGCCTGGCCCAGCCACATGGAATCCACTTTTTGTAATTTTACAACAGACTTCTATAAGCAGTTTGGTGTTTATCCTGGTGTTATTGGCACAGGAACACAAAATTCTTGCACCAGTAATGAATCTGAAATAAAAACACAATCCGAAGATGACCCAAATATTCTGCTCTCTGACTCTGTAAATAAAAGCGCTACTGATGACCTTTCTGACATAGCTTCATCTGAGGATATGGAATCTTCCAAGGAAGAAAACATTGAAGATGAGGACATTGACACAGAACCAGATATAATGAATAAGCAGTTGTCTGCCCTAAATAAAGAAATCAGTGAAGGAGGCGACAATATACAAAGTGCAGTCACCTCACAACCAACACAAGGGCTCGTATCACCACTGCCACAAGCATCAGAAAAGCAGTGGCACAGTCAGAATCTTCTATCCTCCCATGAAACTGCACAAGGAGTGATGAAACCTGAACAAGTTCAGGGTCCGCAGGTCCTGGAGAAGCAGATGAACATGTTGTCAGTCCTAAGAGCTTACAGCTCTGATGGCTTAGCAGCCTTTAATGGACTTGCAAGTAGCACAGCAACTAGTGGATGTATCAAGAGACCTGACTTGTGTGGTAAGTTTTAGACCTTCTTTTAGACCATTTCAGAAAACACTTGTGCAGAATCATGAAGCTGCTCTTTAAATATACTTAGTTATGTTTGTTAGTAATACATTTTTTTAAATGTTAAACCCTGTGGGCCAAATTCTAGTCTTATATGTGGTCTACTCCATTGAAATCAGCAGTGCTGCATGCATATACTTATACAGGATTTTAGAAAGAACTTGCTTTTTAAACTAGAGTAGCAGCAACATAGACTATCTGTGCTAGTGGCATCTGAAGGGGATACTTACTGCTTTAGCATACTCAAAGGAGGAAAAAGTTTTAAAAAATTTACATGGTAACTTGCAAACTTTTCAGTATTTTGATATAAGTAAGAACCCAAGAAAAACACTGGATGCTTTGCCAAGAAAACCTTGCTTTCTCTTTTTTTCTTTTTTCCTTTCTTTGAATTGGGGTGTATTCAATTACCACAATATTAATGAAATCAAAGGCCAAGTGCATGGAATGCGTCTACCTGTGGTGGGGAGCCTTTTTTTTTTTCTTTTCTTTCCCTCCCCTTTTTTTAATTATATTTTTCTGGTTTGTTTCAATGGCACCCATACAGTAGTTGCCCTTGACCACTAACTAGCAGTTGTACAAATTGTGATTTGCCTAATTAAGAATATGCCTCCAGGTAATTAAAACCCCCCAACAACACACTAAACAAACAAAGAAACCCACCTTTTACTCTTATTAGTCTCTTGATTTACAAAACTGCAATTTTATTTCCTCATATCACAGACATCGTATGTGACAAAAATGAAAATTAAATCTGTTTGAAACAAATGAGAATGAGGATTTTTTCAATTTATCTCCTATTTTGTCAGCATAGTTCTTGTTTGAAAGAGATTTTAGTGTGTAAATCCTTTGAAAAAACAGTATCACTTTAAAAAGCAGAGCCAGCAAAGGACACAAAAACTTCAGTAATGCTCATTTCACTTAACCTTCAAACTAATCAGAAAACTCATTGTCAGAGCTGAACATGGATGCTAAAATGTATTCCAGTTAAAAAAAAAGAAAAAGAAAATGTGATCAACAGTTATAAAGCCTGACAATTTAAAATGAAACCCTAAATCTGCAAACGTTTAGAGTGGTTACCCTGGTTAACTAAAGGTTAGTGGGAGCTTTGTTTGACTTTACTAGGATAATATATGTGTGTAAAGCCATAACCCCTTCTTCAGGCCCCTCTCTGCTCTTCCAAGTGTATTAGTTGGTCTGATAAAAAAGTGATTTCTCCTCACAAAGTTTATCTCACTTGTATTCTTAGAGCATTTGGCTTCACAATATTGTCATTACTTAAACTGCATCACGGGTCCAAGTATCTGCATGGCCTTACTTGTAAACTTCTGTGTGTCAGTGCACTAAGAACCAATTCAGATAGTTGGAAATATTTCCAGATTCTTCAAAATCAGCAGTTACGTTACTGATGTTTTGAAAATAGTTGATAGTTGATTAAATTTGCAACTGGTAAGATCCTACTTGAATTTTTTTTTCCTCTCTATTTTTGGAGTACAATCAATCAGTTACAAAAAAAAAAAAAATATAGCAGAGAAATTACTCTCTAAACCAACAAGCAAAAAAATTGGAAAACTAAGATTAGTTGCTTTGTACAAAATATCTTTATACTTTTTCACAGACATAAGATTTTTAAAACAACAACAACAAAAAAATCCTCTAACATTGTTATTGAAATGAGGTCATGTTCCTTCCATTAGTTTTTTGTTTCATCTTCCAATCAATTCAACAGACATTTTATGATGGCTTGAGTTTATATGATTTTGAAGACCATATCCCTTTCACAAGCTCTGCCCAGTGATAATGGATTTGACTTGAAGTATGAAGGAAGAAAAAAACAACAGAAGCATGTCTGTTCTACTTTTTAAGCCATTTTTAAATGGAAAATGCAGTGCAGTGCGAGTCCTCCTTTCTCCCCCCTCCAAAAATAGCTTTTTAAGATTCTTTACTGACATTCTATTGAGTGTTTGCAGACAATAAGTATTAAGGTTGACTATTTAAATGTATTATTTCATTTTTCTCAGTATCTCACAGCAGAAGTGGATGAGTATGAACAAGCCCCGTGTCAGTAGTTCTTTTTTTATTTGGTTGGCTTGGACACTGCCCATTTGAAAGTAATGGTTTTTGGGAATTTTCATTTTCTCAGTGACATTTTATTCTGTGAAATCATACTCCATCTGTGCATGCTAGTGTGGGGAATCTCACCTGATGTTTCTGCGCTTGCAGATAAGCCATCAAGAGCACCCTGTTCATTTATTAGACTTCCTTCCCTCTTGCACAAAGCCCATGACCTTAGTCATGGTTCCCTTTGTCTCTCCTGCTGCCTGAGAGATCAGAAAACTTGAAACACACCTCCAGCATCTGATTCCAGGGCATGATGCTCGTGTTCCTTTGTATTTTGGGAGACTCTTTGCATTTGCCTTTCTTTTTACAGCCTATGATGTGTGGGTTGTTGACATCTCAAGAGAACACTGTTACACTTGATAGAGTCCTTGCACAATCAAGACAGCAAGGCATGGTGTTCTTTCTGCAGTCAGAATACAGTGGAAATAAAATCAAAATAAAATATCTCAGCTTCGGTTAGCTGAGATTGCATCTTTGATTGGCCATGCTAATTGAGTTAAATTTCTGGCTGCAATAAAAACAAGCTGGGATTCTCAGTGATCCATGTGGATCATTTTTAGTTGGCAGATTTTACTGTAAGATAATGGGTCAATTTTTGAGCACAAATCTTGTCACAAGAATGGTTTCATTTCTAGAGGAGAATACCACCAACTCACATTGTTGTTCTGGAAAGTCACCACAGATGGGGGAAGCAGTCCTCAGTTTCCCTGTATGTAGAATAAGAGAGACTGATGATGTACACATAATTCAGTTATGCTTCTATCATGCTTCAGGCTGTAAGGATGAAAGACACAATTAGAAAAGAAGCATAATTACTGCATAATACAGAAATTTCCATGTCAAAATGCTGCTGAGAAATTTTTTGTAATATTTCTCCTTTACATATACAGCAGAATAGGAAAGAACAGAAAGAAAAAAATACCAGTGATTAATTTAGAGTTACTTTTGACCTCTACTTGGTTTTGGAGTCTCAGCTGACTATGCCTAGGAGCTGATCTTGTTAATCTTTGCTACCACTCAGTTTCTAAGACATGCCTTTCCTTGCTGCTTGGCAGCCAGTAGCCCAGCATGGAAGGGAAGCTCAGGGCGATGGCTGCATGGCTTGATATCTGTCTCGAGCATCCATCTACTCTGCATTTGCAGCCCTTGATCATTTGAGAAGTTTTACTCAGAGGTTCTAGACCTACTTGGTGTTTAAGTTTTGGAAGATCTGTTTTCCTTTCCACTTATGCTCTTCTCTTTCTCTGCTTGTCTTCTCATATTCCTGCAGTTGTATCGCAATAATGTTCTACCTCCTGTTCCAAGTCATTAATTTACATGTGTTTTGCACAGCATCTATTTCTGACAAGACCCTTTTCTTTCTCTCTCTCCTCTTCTTTAAATTTTTCTGCTTTATGTCGAAGACAGTAAAATTTCCCTACTTGCATTTTCTGCTTGGGAAGTACTTAGGCTTTCAAGGAGGAGCTGGTGGGCTACAGAACTATTGGCCAGAGATAGTCCTGGACGTTAGCTGGTTGCTTGATGGTTTAGTGCTATTGAACCCATACTTAATGATGTCCAAAAGTATTAGTTCCATATTGTCTCTGTAAATCTAATTTGCTTCCATTCGTGCTTGCTTTCCTCTGCAATTAGTGCTGTTTTCTCCTGCGTAGGCTCTACCCCATTATGACTTTCACTGTATGAAAACAAGGCAGGGCCCTTCTGATGTATGGTAGCAGCTTCAGAGTTCTGATCCTGCAAAAGGCTGAGCACTTTCAGTTTTCTTTGGAGCAGAAAACGTTCAACATTCTACAGAATTATTAAAATGTTCAGCATTGTAACTTTCTGAAATACCTTCCAAATGTGGAACTGCAGCACAGACAAGAGGGCTGGGCAAGGGGAAGATCAATTGTAGCAGATTATTACAGCTTTATTGTCACATAATTATAGTGCTCTACCCCAATGTTTAAATAGTGAATTTAGTTGTTGTAAATTGCTTATTGCCACAGGTGTCAAAACCAAAAAGATTATAATGCTAACCCCTTCAGAACTACCACCAACACATAAAATACAGAAAAAGATTTTTAATTGTTTGTGGTGGCTTCACTTGAATCCTCATTGCAGCGCTTTGAATTATAAAATCCGTATTAAACAGAAGCAAAGGGCCTGATACATCCAAGCACTAGGACAGCTACGAGGAAATGGAAGGTCATCTTACAGCAGCAAATTGTAGTAATACTCCTGCCCATTTTAAATATCTTGTAATGCATTTAAGTAACTCAACATTTTGTCCTGATCTGCAGTTGAAGGAGTAACCAGAATATTCTTTTCCTTCAAGGCAGAATGAAATGATATGGAAGTTTTACTGCAGACTTCTCTTTACTCCATTATGGTGATTTTGAAGAGGTGTCTTTAGTTTCAGTTAGGAGGTCCAAGGCCTGCTTTTAGTGTATGAACTGTACTGATGAACAGGAGATCAGCACCTCGGCCCCACGCCTGGGTTTCAGCCACACTTCTGGATGTCGCAGTGCCATTTGCATGGCAATATCAAACCAAACTCATATGGCTTGCTTCCTTTTTTTAATTAACTGGGAATGCCAGTGATCCAGTGAAGTTTGTGTTGCTGGATAGAAGGGCCGGTCTGTGAATAGCATTGTATTTGCCAAATGGTTCACTAGTCATTTCAGTACAAACAAATGGATGGTGTCTGTAAGTCTGCAAACACTGTTGACATTTAGCCTTGTTTATGTTACTTTCCTTTTGCTGCATATTTTTGGCTAGAAAAGATACTGTCTGAATCAACATTGACTTCCTAAGCAGAAGCTAAGGACCCAATCTTGCATCCCTCATTCTCGCTGAGTGGGACTAATTACGTGACTAAGGATTGCAGAATCAGGTCCTATGTTTGTTTGACTTTAAATTTCATTGCTGTATTCATGTACTTTAATTTGATTGTATTTTGTTGTGTCAGAAATCAGTCAAGTGATCAGTATCACCATTTTGTTTGCTGTTGAAAACTTTTATTTCTTACCATTTTTCATATTGGAGAGTAACATTCCCATTCCGTTTATGTTTCTGGAAATTAACCCCTAAAATATCTGATACAGCTAAGTGCTGAGTATCTTTATTCCCAGTGAAACTGGAGGCATTCAGTCCCTTCTAGCACCAGATCTGAAAGGGGGATTGTGTTTGCAAAAGGAGGCCTTGGTATGTGCCTTTATTTCAGACATCAGTGGCCAGCCACACCGAGGCAAATCCCTAGCACAGAAAGGCTTTTCTTTTCTTTGCAGAGACAAAATAATGATGTAAGCTTAGAGCTGTATGATTTTACTCTAAGTTTCCATCTCCCAAACAATATATTCTTATTGTTTTTGTCATATCCAGGTCAAATTTAAATTATAATTCAGGATTAGGCAGAGGCATAGAGATGTTTCCAGGTCTTTCCAAAGTGAGACAGTGCTCTGGTTTGTGTTTTGGTTCAGGAATATATATTCTCGTGTCTGAGGTATAGTATTTCCTATAACTACTCATAAACATGAACAATTTAGACATCCTTGTAAGTCAAAACTAAGTGTACAATTAATACCTATTATGAGGCCAATTTTAAACAATTAATTTGACAGCAATTATAATTTTATGTTACAGGCTTCCAGAAATAAATAATCAAATTCATCTTTGTAATCTAAGGAACTTAGGATATCTTTATGCAGAGATGATCTTATTATGCACAGTATTGCATATCTGGAGTTTCTGAGGTTTGCTCCCACCTATCTAGATACCTGTAGTGCCAGGGATAAGTAATTACCTGAGGCTTATTAATTGTTTCAGCAAAGAAAAAAATATATACCTTAAGTGTAAGCATTAATATATGTGTACACAATACATCCACATTATATAACAAACCATCATAATAGTATAAAAATAGAGGTCCTGAATATGTTCTGTTATTTATGTGTTTGGCAAGCTTAGGGAATGGACTTTAGTATGAGTGAAAATTCTCTTAACATTTTTAAGGTTATTTATTGTCATTTCTATTTGAGTTTTTAATGGTCCTGTATTTTGTAATGCTTTAGCAGGAAAAAATACTGTAGTTATCTTTTTTCATATTCTTTAAGCAATATTTCTAGCTTAATATATTGTGCCAGGTTTTCCAATATTAACCAAGAAAGACAGTAAAATTCGATGAACAGCACTGTGACATCCACAATTTGAAACCTGTGATTGAAGTGAAATGTGTAAACTTCTAGTGGGTTATCCTGTGCTTTGGAATAGAGTATTGTTGGAAGTAATTAGAAAATATATTAAGGTTTCCTGGTAATGAAGGTATGTAAGTTTTAATAATTGTTGCTTTCTGAATAAGTGTCAAATATATCTTTAAATGTATATGGAGTTACAAGTTAGGTCACTTCTGAATGGAATGTAAAACAATACTAAAATGCTTCAATAACTTATCTCAGTGTTGCTAATAAAAAAAAAGCTGTTAACCATTAGTGCAGTTTTGAGTCATTTTGTTAATTCATTCAAGAAAACCGTCTGAGAAACTGTTATACCTTTTGGTAGACCAAAGACCACTCATGCAATCCACAGTTGTTTGATGCTTTGAGAGGCAAACTCTGCAAAGCTACTTGTTGGCCTTGTAAAGGACATTTATTAAAAATGCAGTCTTCTACGGAAGGAGTGGTTTGTTGTTAGGATGATGCCACGTATGGTTAGGCAGGTATATAAGGGGGGACATTAGACTTGTTTCCTCTGTCACAGAAAATATTTTGTGAATGTGGGACCTGTTTCTCCTCTGTCACTATTGAATTCCAGCAGAAATTTTTGTGGAGGCCACTGGGTTAAAAATTAATAATGTGGGATGGATTAACTGTGTAAGTATCAGTGCCTGGGTGCTTGGCCAGGGTGAGCTACATATTTGGGTCCAGTCCCGCAGCTGGACATGTAGCCATAGTGAGTAATCAGTATACGATGCCTATCCCAGTGGAGAACTACCAGAAGCGTACAGCCCATGAGTGATCTTTGTTGGTTAATATCTTGCCTAGACTTACATTGAGTCACAGTCTTCAGTACTGCAGAGAGCATTGAACTCTCATTTTTGTTTCCCAAGGAAAGAATGTGTGATAAACATCCTGAGACTAGCCTCCCTCCTCAGACCCCCGTACTATTCACCCAAGGTAAAACAAGCGTAGGATGACAAGCAAGCAGTTCCATCAGTCCCAGTAGTTCACTCAGGTCTGTGGTAAGTGTTTCCAGGGTGGGACCCATAAGAGGTGGCCTGTTGTTTGGTGCGCCACTGAGTACGCCATGGAAGCTAAAGGAAAACATGAGTAGGGCTCCCAGTGTCACATCTTCATTAATGCTGTCAGTTTTGAATAGCATATTGGTACTTTTATTTATTCCACCAAAACACCATGAGTCAGGACCTGACATTTTAGTGTTCTGTGTCATACTGAGAAAAATCTGTAGTTCAGCAGTAGGACAATTATATTATTTTGGAACGGCTAGAAATAATACAGCATTTGTGAGACAACTGTAACATTTATCCAGACTCAGTGTGAGATTGTTCCTCCTTTTATTTGGAGAGCACTTCCAAAAAAGTATCAACTAGGAGCAAAGAAAAAAAAAAGACAAGAAAAAGTGGCAATTATGAATCCATTTAACCCCCATAGGGTATAATCTCATCTTGTGTAATACCGCTGGCTGTTACATGCCTAAACTTCTATGCAATGAACTGTGAATATAGTCCTTATTGTCCCGTGGGCAATACGACTAAGGAAAAAAATATCACTGTAATACAATGGAGCATTTGTCTGAACGCCGTAACCTAAGGTCCATAACATCAAATCTAAAGTTGTAATTATACAGCTGCAGTCACACCACTCAAGTGAAGGCTGTGTCAGCACTTGTATTATATAAGAAATCCTGTTTTCAAGGGTTGATGAGTCATATGCAGAAAACATTTCTCACTAAACAATTGTTCTAGTTGTTCTGAAGCAACGTCTAGGTACGAGCCTTTCCCCAGTAGGACGCAGGCATGTCTTCTGCAACATGCCATGGCTTAACTTGGCAGTTTATTTTGCTAA